TCAGGTAGCCCCCCACCCCCTTCCAGGTCATGTCAGCAGACCTTGAAGGGAATTTCCCACCCGGGTCCTCACAGCAGATCTGGTCAGAGCCAGAGGGGCCACAGAGAGGGCCTGGGGCCGGCTGAGCCAAGCTGCTGTGGGATAAAACAGGCTGCTCAACTGCAGGGCCCTGCCGGCCCCTCCTGACCTCTGACCTCCATGGGCCTGCCCATGAGAGCGCTGCCCACTCATCCCTGGGCCCCTCCTGAGTCCCCATGATGCTTGCAGACTTCACCCCTGCACCCAGCCACTGGGCCAACAGTGACCAACCCGCCAAACCGCCCAGTGGGCCCCTCTAAGCTACACAATCTTCCTTTATTACTGACTGGTTGTTCATTCAACCACTCAGGTCATTCAGCCAAAGTATATAGAACACCGTCTACTTTCCAGGGACCACTCTAGGCCTCAGGGAGATGTGAATACGACAGATGAGGTCCCTCCCTCAGGGAGCTTTCAGTCCAGTGGGGACAAACCAATGATTATCACAGTGGGGTCTGTGGACGAGGACTGGGCCACAACCTGTGCCACCAGCCTGAGCCGAGGTAGCACCGAGGTTGAGGGAAGTGTTTCTAAACTCCCAGAGCAATTTGACAGTAATTTCATGTTTGTTTAGTAAAAAAAAAAAAAGAAAGACAGAAAAAAGAAATCAGGCTTCTGTTATTTGTCTTCTTTTCCATCTCATTTTTCTAGTAATCCATTTTTAGGATATTTCGCAGAAGGATAGATCCATAATGGACTGGAAATTTAGAAAAATCCATCCTACACCCCGGAAGTTTTGAGAAGCCTTGTTCTAAATGACAAATTGCAATGTGTGCCACGGAAAACATGGTGGAGGATAACGAGGACAAACCTGGTCCAAGGAGGGTGGTGTTTGATGGGACCTGAAGGAACCAGGCAGGCAAAGAGCTGGGGAAGGAGCTTTCCAGGCCAGGGAACCGCCTGTGCAAAGGTCCTGAGGTGAGCGAGAAGCTGCAGGGCTGACAGGAAGGAAGCCAGTGGAGCTGGAGCAGGAGCAGGAGCAGGAGCAAGGGGGCGTGGGAGGGCCGGCAGGCAGAGGCTTGGTCCGTGGGTGCATCCTGAGGGCAAGAAGATACTGAAGGGCTCTAAATGGACACACACTTCCCATCGGCCCCTTTCTGACAGCACAGGCACAGGGCAACCTCATCCTGGACTCTCTGGGAGGGCTTACTCATGAGATCCAGAAGGACATTGGGACAGCAGCACCTCAACTAAAGTCCAATCCCCGGATAGAGGTTTGCGGATCAGCTCTCCTGTGAAGGACCAGCACGCAATCCCTTTAAAGAAACCTCTGTGCCTTGACACAAGATGCTGCCGAGATGGAATGTGACTGAAAGACTTCCTCAGAGGTAATATATTTTGTAACGTGGGGAAAAGCTAAAGAATGGAAAAGAGAATTCATAATGTGTTCTGAGAAGGGTAGGGGTTGGGTAATAAGTTGGTTGATCTGGCCTTTGATCAACAATGGAGTGATGATGGGTATCCTTGACAATAATGCTCACGCAGGCTCTGTAAATTTCTGAGCCATTACCGGGAAGATGAGGTGATGTGAGCATGATTTTAGAACTGTGTCTTCGGTATCCTCTTTTTAACAACGTGGCAAGCTGTGCTTGAGACGTATTTCACAGGGAGGTCGACAAGTCCTCGATAACTGGTACCCACCGCTCATCAGATCACAGATCTCTGCACCCTGCTGCTTTCAACAGGAGAGTTCCCAGGGCACTGACACTGAGGAGGAAAGTCTTTCTATATTATAGGAAGTTGCTGCAAATTGTTTACCAGAGATGCCTCAGGCAGGTTTAATTTCCGAACCAGCCCCATAATTATTTTTATTCTTGCAAAAGAATCACTTTGCATGTGAGGGGAATTTTCTAAATGAGTTTGAAAGTTTGAGTCATGCCCTCCACATAAGCCTCCTGTGGCTGCCAGGACACTCTTGATGTAAGTTTGCATATTAAATATGAATATCAGTGAATTCAGTAGCTAGCCAAACTATACTTTTCAACTTCTTCGAACTTATTTTGTTACTCTGGAAATGATCATGGAAGACCCACTGTCACGTTCATGAATAATTATGCATGATGCTGAGTGGTGAAAAGTCATGCTTTGCTGGTCAAAGTATAAAATTAAGCCTACCTTCCCGGGCAATTTGGCAATAGGTGATGAGCACTTTTAGAAATTTTATATCCCTAACCCTTATAGAAATATTTCCTAAGGATATAATCAGAGATAAATACAAATATTTTTATACAGGGGTATTTGTTATAATAATACTTATAAAAATGAAAACTTAGACTCATCCTACAATCCAGTAACAAGAAATTTGTGAAATAAATTATGGTGCATCTATATGACAGAATATTATACAGTTGCTAAATGCTCACAATATGATGTTATTTGAAAAATAAGGCAAACATATTTACAGTGTGATTCTGTTGATATTGTTGTTAAACACATCCTTAGAAGGGCTTATACAAAACTGTTCAGGTTGTCTTTGGGTGATGGATTATAACTGTTTTTTGTTGTTTTCTATAGTTTTAAAATGCTCTACAATGTGTTTGTATTACTTTAAAAATAAGTGATACTTATTAAAACCAATGAAAATATTTAAAACATCAGTCCTTAGATACTATATTATTAATGTAGATTTAAATGTTATAATCATGAAATAACCTTAGCCATGATCTTATAGACTTTTAATCAAGGATATTTCTGAAATAATCTATTACTGATCCATAGAATTGGTGGTTGATGGACTGATCAATACCTTTCAATCACCCAAGTTGTTTGGCTCATGGCATTTTCATGATTTATCCAACGGGGAACATCTGATTTAGCCCAATGCACTGGTCTATTGGTGACAAGAAGGTCCTGATAAGGATGGATGGAGAGGTGAGAACGAGGGCAAGTTTTGGGATCTACCTTCACTGAGACCATTTTCTTTGAGGGATTGGATATCTGATCTGATTTTATTTATGTCAGATCTTTGAACAAATGACTACACAGGTATGTGTGGGAGGGAAGGGGTTAAGTCTGGAAGCAGTGCTTGATTTAAGATTTGTTTTGGAGCCACTTATCTTTTGGGTTGCTGACAGCAATAAGCATTTTTTAAATGCCTAAAGGAATGAAAGTAGATTGGAACCTGGTTATTTCTCTATCTTCAGTCAGATGAATGTTTGAGTTAAAAAACAACCCAAACCAAAACAAAACAGATCAAAGTTACTTTTAAATTTGTCATGCATCTGTACCAGGTGTGTGGCCTGTTCTGTCAAGATGACCTAAGAAAAGATATTTATTTTGTAAAATAAAGTTCAAAAAGGCAAAGACATCATTGACTTAGACCAAAAACACCCAGTAACTCCTGCAATTGGATGGCCAATAGGCATTGACATACATTCCTTATTTTGACCAGAAACGGGTAGAGTTATTCCCAAGGTTAAGTAAAGGTCATCTCTCTCTGCCAACTGCCACTCAGTGGTGATGGAAAAGCAAAGGCTGAGGTTGGGTGCCTGGAAATTTCACTTAAGAAACAAATGGCCCCAGTCTGTCTGTTCACTCAGGTCATTTCTGTTAGTTTTCCCATAATTGTACTGGATCAGCAGTCAAGTGAAACGACAGATTCATCACTGATAGAATCTCTGTCCTGGGCCGACAATTCTTTGATTTGTGTGTCTTTGTGGCCAGGGCCATTATTTCTAACTGCCTTTTGATCCTGCAGCAGGTCATCTATCTTTCACACATTAAATTTAATCTTCACGTTAGATGCTGATGGGGAATTTGGTCTGGAGTGGCTATTGGACTAGTTTCACAAACTTCAGTAACTTCAAAAAAAAATCTTAAAAGACATCAAAATTTGAAAGTAGAAAGCAAATAATGATGGCTTTCTAGTAATTTAAGGTTGTTACAAGATCTCCAGTGATAATTCTGATTACTTAGGTCCTTCAATGATTTGACTCCTTAAAATATGAAAAGTGTACACCACTTTCTCATTACATCTTCAAAACAATTTAATTGTAACACTCCTGATGATTCCAGATATGAGCCTTTGAACTTTTTTTCATTCACCAACTATATAACTAGGTCCTCTGTGTTAGGAACAAGGGGCCAAGGATGACTCAGGGAAACAGAACTAATAGGATCTATAAAGATAGGTGAGAGATTTATCATGGATTTCCTGGGGATTGAGCCCACAACCCAGGCATGTGCCCTGGCCGGGAATCAAACCTTGATCTCCTGGTTCATGGGTCAACACTGAACCACTGAGCTACACCGGCCAGGCATCACACAGATGATTTTTATCCACAAAAGATGTTCGCTGTACTAATTATTTAAAATTGGGGAATGCAGACAACCAAAGAGGCCAGTGTAAGGGAACGATCATCTTTCTTCTCATGTTTCTGCCTCAGTGACTGAAACCTTCTGCCTTCTTGGGGAAGACACCTCAACCATTCTCTCCACCCCATGCTCCTTATACTCAGGTGAGATGTGACTTATCAGATGGGTGAAATGGGCACAGGTGACTGGCTACAGAGTTGTCTGCTATCTGCCCCGACCTCCCAGGTTGCAGCCCACCCACCACCATCTCTGTGCATGCCACTGGTTGGGCTAAGTCTCTAGATCTGCAGGCCCAGCCTCCTCTTACCAGATTTAGGGAAGAGAGCCTGGTTTTGGCTCCCAGAACATGCCAGTCCATGGTGCATTAACTGAGAAACCAGTCAGAGGGTTGGATGGGGCCTCAGCAGCTGACGCAGGTTGACTCAGCTGCTTCTAATATTTGAGAGCCAGGTAAACAGGCTTTATAACTCAAGTGGGCCATCCTGGCTGACTAGGGTGCAAGGCGACATTTGAGTCACTGTGAGTCGAGCTGGCGTCATCCAGCCCTGGCCATGTGACTCTCCGTGACTATGATCTGTAAAAGCAAAGCTTGGGTACTACTGCGGAACTAGTCCGAGACAGATATTTTATTCTGGAGAGGAGTTATGCAAAGTGCTGAGGTCCCAGAAAACCAGCTCCCTCCCACCTGAAAGTCAGTGCTCTCGCTGCTTGAAAGCTCTCTCTGCCTCGCCAATCTTTATATGCCTGGCTCTTGGTTTCACCAATCAAATCTCAGCCTCAACTGCCTCTAACTGAGCAGCCTACTTGACCACTGGATCTAAAGCAGCCACTTTCTAGAAACTGTACTATCTTAATTCTCTGCACAGCACTCATTTCCTTCTTTATTTGCTTGGTCTATTTCCATCTGCCTCTAAAATGTAGGCTCGTTGGGAATCTCATCGCAACATCCCACTGCCCAGAGAAATACCTCGTCTGTGTGAGTACTCAATCAATAAATATTTGCATCTTAGACATGAATCTGATGGCAAGGACACACAGTAGATGAACCCTTCCCCCAAACTGGAGTCTGCATTCTGGGCCTCTAGAATAAACAGTGAGAAAGACACAATTGCTCCCTGAAAGAGACAACATGAATGACTCTGGAGGGATTTCCTGCTTCTACTGATACTTATTTGTTTAAACGCCTGCTATATGGTAATGATCAATGTTTTATTTATTCTGTCCATTAGTAACTAATATTTGAGAACTTTTACAATATTAATGGACCTTAATCTAAGATAAGTTCAACTTACATTTTTCAAAATATTTCAATACTGGGTATTAATAAGAGAGATAATTATGGTCAAAATTATTATGCCAAAACTTGTAATAAATGTTTGATGGTAGTGTATACACAATTCAGTTTTTGGTGTAAGATTCTTTGGCAGTCAGAAAGAACATCTGATTTACTTCGCTAATAGGAATATCTCTTAACGCTGGGATGGCCTCTTCCTGGTATTTCTTCTGCTGCTGATTTTTAGCATAGTTATCTGCAAGAGGACAAAAGGCTCTCATTACCCAATGAGTTCTTCGGTCTTTATGGAGACCCACTACATAATTGACTAGGCTAATGCTTGGATAATGAAAAATACGTTTAAATGTTATTAAAAGATTACTTGAATGCTCTCTTTAGAAGCAATGTCCCAATTAGACTAGAAATTAGCAAAGAACTTTTAAAAAATATATATACTTTTACTAGAGGTGGTCCCTCAGCCCAGCCTGTGCCCTTTCACAGTCCAGGCCTAAGCCGGCAGTTGAACATCCCTCTTGTAGTCCAGGACCCCTTGCTCCTTACCACCTGCCTGCTCACTGCTCCTTAGCACTGCAGTGGAGGCAGGAGAGGCTCCCGCCACTACCGCCTCGCTTGCCAGCCATGAGCCCGGCTTCTGGCTGAACAGAGCTCCCCCTGTGGGAGTGCACTGACCACCAGGGAGTGCAGACACTCAATGCAGGAGCTGCCCCCTGGTGGTCAGTGCGCATCATAGCAACCGTTCGTTCTTGTCGTTCCACTGTAATGGTTGTTTAGGTTTTTATTATACAGATTGATTTCAAAAAGGAAGGGAGAGGGAGAGAGAGATAGAAACATCAATGATGAGAGAATCATTGATCGGCTGCCTCCTGCACACCCCCTACTGGGGATTGAGCCTGCAACCCCGGCATGTGCCCTTGACCAGAATTGAACCCAGGACCTTTCAGTCTGAAGGTTGCGCTTTATCCACTGACCCAAACCGGCTAGGGCTAGCAAAGTACTTTTTTGCATCTCTAACTTGGGTAAGAAAGTAGTATTTCATTCATCAGTACAATGATGTGTTAAAGTCCCATTTGCACATTTTTCATAGGAATAGAATCCTATTCAGGCTGAGAAATATATTTAAATCACCTGAAAACTATTAAGTCATTTGGTACAATCATTCATATAAACTTAACACTTTCTCCCTTCTGCACAAATTGTCTGTTTGCCGTGATTCCAGTCAAGAATGCAGGGAATACAGTAGGTTACCAGAAAAGAAGCATCAACCTGTGAATCAGGAGGTCATGATTCGATTCCTGGTCAGGGCACATGCCCAGGTTGTGGGCTCAATCCCCACCCAGTGTGGGGCATGCAGGAGGCAGCCAGTCAATGATTCTCTCTCATCATTGATGTTTCTATCTCACCCCTTACCTTCATCTCTGAAATTAATAAAAATATATTTTAAAAAAGAAATATAAAAAATTATAACTGTCCTAGCTGGTTTGGCTCAGTGGATAGAGCGTTGGCCTGTGGACTGCAGGGTGCCAGGTTCAATTCCGGTCAAGAGCACATGCCCAGGTTGCGGGCTCAATCCCCAGTGTGGGGCGTGCAGGAGGCAGCCAATCAATGATTCCCTCTCATCACTGATGTTTCTATTTCTCTCTTCCTCTCTGAAATCAATAAAAATATATATTAAAAACAAAAAAACTATAACTGATTTGCAGAATACATTGTATAGGCTCATACACACACAAAAAGGCTTTAAAAGTTAAAAAATCATACCTGGAAACTTAAAAAATACTTTACATTTTAGAATACAAGCAAGCTTAGGAGTCTGCCTATTTTAATCTTTAGATTTTAAAAAAAGAACTTTAAAAAATAAAACTGCAAAAACATGCTATGGCTTGTCTACCCCTTACTGTGGTCAGGTGTACACAGGGATCCTGAGGACCCCCCCAAATCCCTCCTCCTGGACAAGCTCTGCATGGGCCTGTGTGTACCCCTCCATCACCACTGCCTGTCGAGGATAAAGGAAGTTCCTGCCAGCGGAGCTGTCGAGGAACATGTTATAGACTTGTCGTTTTTATGAGCAAATGCACCTGTTGACTAGTGCTATGAACAGGGTATTCATCAGAACTTATTTCCCAGGTAAACCTGCCTCTGGTATAACTCTGCATTATGTCTTCCAAGTTGGTATGCCCAGGTGTCATTTTTGCAGCCTGTTCTTGGTTGCTTTTCTTGATAAAAGCACTCAGAGCCCACTCCTCCGTCCCCCAGCACATCCCATTGGTATAAATTTACCTGTGACTGTATGAATGGAGTTGAGTGGCGAGGTGCTCATCATGTTTACTCCAAATAAGAGTACATACCCGATTACTATAGTAATGAGGAGGTAGACAGGCAATGCAACTGCCCAGTACCTGCAGATGAGAAAATTCGGTAGGTAACAGACTTCCCCAAAAGCTATTCTTCTTATGAGTCCATCAGTAAGATAACATAACTTTTAAAATTTAAAGTAAAACAGGTACCTAAAAGACAAACAGTTACGAGGCCTGCCAGCTTTTTGTCTGTTTGCTTATGTTCCATGCTCCCATCAGTACTCAACCCCCAGATTCTCTGACAGGAAGGGCTCCAATATGCCTCTCAATGTAGCTGAACAAGCACATCAAGTGACTGCAGGTCTGAACCGGGTGCACTGTTTCTTTAGTCATTTGCTCCTACTGTTTTCCCTTTCTGGAACTTCTAAGAGTTAAGATTTTTTCACCCTGTTATATTTTCCTTATTTTTTTCCATTTGCTGTCTTTTTTTCTACTTTCTGGATATTACCTTTGGTTTATCTCTTAACCCATCAATTAAAATTTCAATTTTGGCTGTTATATATACACTAGTGGCCTGGTGCACAAATTCATGCACACTGAAAGGACATTAATTAGAAGAAATATTTTAATATTGCTTCTTGCCCTTTCTCTATAATTGAAGTGTCAACCAAATTCAAGATCGACAATGACAGATCGAAACACACGCGTGCGATTGGCACCAGCAAGTGTTACATGTATTGCGCATGCACGAGTCAACTTAGCCTTTTATAGATAAAAAATAAACTTGTTTAGTTAGACCTGCTTTCTGATGTAGCTAAACTTTTTCCAGCCCAGTGAAGCACCCCAACTTCTCTTTCAGGTAATTGTGAGCAACACAGCAGTAAATATCAACACAAAGCAGATTATTATTGTAGATCACGCAGGGAGAACAAAGGGTAAAATATTTAACTGCAGCAGTGTTTGACTATATCTGCACAGTGAGAAAACCTGAAGTCATTTTCAAGGTCCACCATTTCTTACTTCTTTTCAATCGGGTCAAGTTTCTAAGCTTTCTAAATCTCCGTTTTCCGGCTAATGAAAAGAAAATAGGATTCCACAGAGTCTCCTATCTACCTACTCCAGGACTTCTGTGAGGATCAAATGAGATGAGGCATGGGAAAACGCTTCACAGACATTTGGTTAAAGTGTAAAATGCTTTCACCTGGCTATAAAGCAAGTCGTATTCCTGGGCTGAAGAAACTCCAAGGAGGATAGTTGCTAGGGAGAGGAAGCCAGGCGTTGCTAGGTGATGTCATTACCTACCCAGGGCCCACAGCCACCGTTTCTGGGCTGGCCTGGGCTGGGCTGTGGACCACATTTTGCGCCATGGGACCCCAGCAGTGTCAGCTGCGATTTGGTGGGGTGTCGCTCCGGGATGATGGTGGGGCCTGTGTCCCACTTGAGGGAAGCCAAGTGTTGCTTTGTGGGCACCAGGTCTGTGGTGCCTTTTCTCTGTAAATGGCCAGTGCGCATCACGGCAGCTCCTGCGTTGAGCGTCTGCCCCCTGGTGGTCAGTGCGCATCATAGCGGCCAGTTGGATGGTCAAACACTTAGCATATTAGCCTTTTATGTATACATAGATATTTCCAAAAACAGTAGTAATTCCTTAAACATTCCATTTTTTATAGCATTCTATTCTTGTTTCATGGTGATTTTCTTCTGTTCCTTCCATTAGCTCCCTTTCCTTCAAGTTCCCTTTTTTTCTTTTGTATTTCATTTTAGAGGCTTTTATAAAATGGTAAGTTATGGTTGTCCACTCACATTTAAAAATGAAGTACTAACAAGGTTATTGGAAGCCCCATGTGTATGTGGGCCAGGATGGCAAACTGGTGAGTCTCACTGCAGGAGACCAAGCCATTTCACCGGGGGACCGCCGAATGTCAGAGATTACAGATGCTTTCCCCTAAGCTGGTCAACTTCCGTAGGGAGGAGCCTCCTGTTTTGCTGGGAGGAGCACGGCGGTACAGGCCTGGCAGCCACAAGTCTGGGAGCCTCGTGAGGAAAGGTGCTTGGGGCGACTTATTACTCAGCAATGCAATGATCTCCATTCTCCTCCCTGTCTTTAGTTGTACACAGGTGAGAGATAAGGTGCCTCATTCCCAGGATCAGACCTAATGTCTTACAGACTCTTATTCAACGTTCCAGAGAGTAAAACTGTCTTCTGCAGGGCAGGGAGGGCCAGTCTCCCTGCCTTAAGGGATGAGGAGGGGATTTGGGGGTCTTGTGCGCCTTAAACACTGTTTTCAGCTCAATCCAGAATGACCACGTTAAAGAGGTATCTGTATGTCCAATTTCTAGCCTTTCTGGAATTCTAGGGCACAGCTATTCTTGCTGGCTTCTCTACTTCAGCAATGTGAAAAAGTGGAAACTAAGTCAGTTACCGCTCACCTGTGTACAACTCTAAAATTTTGTTGATACTTCTTACTTGCTATCCCATTATTTGTTACCTTAAAAAATATCTTTTTTTTCCTACAGAGTTACTTTAGCAAGGTGTTGGGAGGAAAGGAAGACAAACATGCATTCAACACATCATTTTTAATTGGAGATATATCTACAATGACCTTTAAAAAGCTTTACATTTCTATTTGGCTATTTATGGATCTTAAAAGAGTATTTAAGATTTGAGTAGTCTTAACAAAAAATCTGATCCTTCAAAACAGCATTAATATACTCTTATTTTATTTAAGCAACATATTAAACTTACTTTTGAGGCCAATAGGTCAAGCTTAAGGCGTTCAGCCAAGACTCGGGAACAAAAGCCCACACGAGGTACAGGACTGTAAGGAGGCGAGAAAAGGCCAGTGAGCTAGCATCTCATCTCCCGAGGGTCACATGAAACAAAAAGCTCCCGTAAAGCCTCCCTGATCCACTCAGAAATGAGTGTTCCCTCCTTTCCGTTCTCCTAGCTCCTTATTTGCATCACTCTTGTTATCACAATTACCTTATATCTTTTTATTGTGGTAAAAAAGTGACAGGAGCCCAGCTGGCGTGGCTCAGTGGTGGAGCGTTGGCCTATGAACCAGAAGGTCATGGTTCGATTCCCGGGGGGAACACAGATTCTCTGACAAGAGGGGGCTCCATAGGCCATGAGAGGCAGCAAAGTGAAGTCCACCCGGTGTCTGGGTTGACATTCTAGCTCTATTTTTTTTTAATATATGTGTTTTATTGATTCAGAGAGGAAGGGAGAGGGAGAGAGAGATAGAAACATCAGTGATAAGAGAGAATCATTGACCGGCTGTCTCCTGAGCCCGCAGCCCGGGTATGTGCCCTTGACTGGAATCGAACCTGGGACCCTTCAGTCCGAAGTCCGACACTATCCACTGAGCCACACCCGCTGGGGCTCTAGCTCTATTTTTTACGGACTGTGTGTCTCAGTATTCTCATCAGTAGAATAGGATAATAACAACATCCACCCCACAGGATTGTCTTGGGAATTATAAGCACTGAATAAACAGTCACCATTTTTTCACACCTGAAGAACCTGAAGGCTCAAAGAAGTAAATGGTCTCAGGTCACACAGCTAATCCGGGGAAGAGCCAAGCTTTGAACCCAAGTTACAACTTCACTCCATCGACTTCTCCACCCAACAGCTTGGCTGATGCAGTTAAGGTTCACACCCCCCACCTTCCTCGTTCCCACAAAATTCCAAAAAGTTGGATTATGAGTACCCCCAATTCTCTCCCTCTTGTCCCCTCGTAATTCTCAACTCCTTCTGGGGAGAGATGTGGGGCCGGGTGTGTGACTCTGTGAGCATCAGTTTCTCTTACCTGTGCAATGGGATCTCACAGGGATTGAGGGAGACCCAGGATAGAAATGCACCTGACTCCTCCAGCCTCATTCATTCCCTTCACTCCCTAGCTGCCACAGCAGCACAGGAGCCACCGCCACAGCCTTAGCCACGGCCTTCCCACTTCCCTCCTCCTTATGGCTGGGAAGGCGGCGAACTGATTTCCTAGTCTGTTCCATGTCTCTCCCTGGGCTCCCATGGCATGTACCACGCTGAGTGTTAAGTGTAGATTTACTTGTCTTGTCCACCAGACCATGACCACAGGCCCCAGGTTCTATCCACTGGGCAATCCTCCCTGGTGCCATATAAACAGCGCTTGAGATTAAACCTTTCCGGCTACTACCTGGCTCACAGAACCCTCTGAACCAACATGAGTCCCCTTCAGGTTTTCTTAAAAAGAGGCACAGGTAGAAAGAATCACAGTTGGTGTGCGCACTCTAATAACAAAGGCAGTCATTTCCTTGACCTTGAACACCAGAGCCAGTCCGTGGCCATCCATCGGGAAAGTACTTACTGAAGCCAAATTGGGAGCTTAAGAAAAGAACAAAGCCATAAATCGCTCTTTCTGGCAACGGCGACGGTGAATTTTCCACCATTTTCCCTTGGAGACAATCTGTGGGAAGGAAACACAATCACCATCAGGGATGTACTCCCCGCACCGGGCTGTCATAACCTCATCGCTCTGCCAAGGGCCACGGGCGCAGCCGCTGCAGCGTGTTTTTCTTCCAGCCTAACCCACTGCGAACGGCTGTCCTGCGCACACACCCCCAACACACGCCCGCTTGCACGCGCGCTCACCAGCACCCACGCCTGACCTGCACGCGCACAGCGGCTGCCAGACCTCGCGTGCACACGCGCACACTCGCCAGCACGCGCACAGCCTGCGGTGGAGCTGGGGGGGGGGGGGCGGGGATTTGAAGGCCCCCCTGCAATCTGCAGGCTTCGCCTCTCTGCGGAGAGGGAAGAGCTGGGCAGGGCGCGGCCTCCCCGGGTCTGGGCCGCGGCGCCCAGGTCCCAGCACCTGCCCTCGGGGGTGTGGGGGGAGGTTGGCTACTGTTCCACGTACGCGGTCAAGGTGGTCCTCGACCTTGGCTCCTTCCCGCGCCCACTCGGGCCCCTCCCAACAGCGCGGCCACTCAGCGAGGAGTCCCCTGCGCAGGCGCCGGCCCGGCAGCCGCAGCGGCGAGAGAGGAGAAGCCGAGCGAGGAGCCGAGGGGCGACGGCGCCTCCCGTCCGAGCGCAGGCGCACCGCGAGCCTGGTCCGGCCGGAGCTCGCGAGCGCGGGGTCCCGCGGGATCGCTCGCCCGCCGCCGCCGCGGAGGAGGGGGCGGGGCGGAGCGACTGCGCATGTGCGCTGCCGCCCACGTGACGCGCTGCCGCCCGCGCCGCTGCCAGCTGCCGCTCGCGCTGGCTGACGTGGAGGGCCGCAGGCGGCAGCGGTGGCGTCGGCGGCCCGCGACCGAGGCTTGCGGTCGGCGGGCCCGGGTGAGTGCACCGCTGGCGCGCGGCAGGGCTCCTGGATGTACCACCGTGTCGCACAGAAGCCGAGATGCCCGGGAAGAGCGGCCCGCCAGGTCCTCTCCGTGGGTGTGTGGTGAGTGTGGGTGTGTGCGCGTCGCTCGCTGGGGTGCCCGCGGCGTGTCTGCGTGGGATGGGGTGCGTGGGATGGGGTGCCGGTGCGCTGGGGGTGTGGCCGACTTTGTCGGCCCCGGTGGGTGTGTCCCTTTTGTCTGGTGTCCCCCTTCTGCCAGCGTGGGCCCCTCGGGGCATCGGGGCGAGGGTGGGAGTGCCCCCGTGTGTGCACATCCCCTGGCCGCCCGCGCACCCTCGTCTTGAGGGCGACCCCGCTGCTCGGCGAGGGGTCCTCGGCCGCAGCGCGCAGGCACGCGCCCGTGGGTCGCCTCCAGCCCTTTGGGGTCCGGGCGGGTTCTTCCCAGCGACGGCGCGGGCGCCCCCGGCCGGTTGGGTGACCCCGCTTGGTGTCACTGCCCCTCTCCGGTGGGTCCGCGACCCCCGCCTGCAGCATCCCTCGCCCGGGTGTGCGTTCTCGCGTGTCCCCGTGCGCCTGGGTCCTGTGGAGTGCGTGGCCAGTGTGCGGGTGTGCGGGAACGTTCGTGCACGCCTCGTCCTCCGTGTTTTGTGTTTCCCGTGTCTGCGCCACCTGTTTTCCAGTCGGGGCTGGCCCCTCCCGTCCCCCGAGCCCTCCCCTCTCTGACGCCTCTGCGGAGCCTCCTCCACCCCCCGAGCTAACGGGGCGGGGGGACTGCTGCGTCCCGCCAGCTGCTGCGTGGTGCTGACGGCATCTCTCGCGTCGAGCCCGCCTATTCACTAGGGGGGCCCGCGCCCCAAAAAGGAGAGGAGGTGTAGGTGGATTTGGGCGCTACCATGCGTGCCTTTTCCAGAGGCGCCCTACACCCCCAGAGCCCTGCTTGGATTGCAGGCTTTTGCCAATATTTGCAAAATCAATAACATCTAGCCGGCCCTGGCGTTCTCGCTAATACTGAACGGCTCACGCAGTGTTTGATGCCGTTCACGTAAATTCTCTCTCTCCATTCCGCCCGACATCCTGGCGAGGGCAACCAGGTAGACGTTTTAAGATTGTACTCCTTCTCCTCCTCTGGGAGCAGTTTTCTCATTGTTCCAGCTCTAGCTAGGACTTTTTATTATTATTATTATTACAAGAAATTGGCATTTTTATTCTAAGGGAAATGGAATTCATTATGAGGATATGCAGAGAAAGAAACTTAAAATCCGTTAGGGACCCAACTACTCCTCTTGTGCAAAGAAAGGTGCCTGCTCTCTGCTCTAGGGCTGCGTTTTAGTGTTCATTTGCTTGATTGTCTTGCTCTTGCCTAACTTTCCTTTATTTTTTTCTTTTTAATTTCTGGTATATTTCATATATGCAATACTAAGTGGGGGCGTCTAACCAATCCATGACTCAGATTTACAGATGTAATAATTTTGCCAAATTTACTTTAGATCCGTTTTTTTAAGAAATAAAATTGTAGGTATTGGAGATGGTCTCAGTTCCTCCCCTTCCTTCCGTGTTTAGGCTTGCATATTTTACCAGTATACTTGGATCACGGTGAATCCATAAGCAGTAATATAGTGTGTTTTTAAACTTTAATGGTATGAAAAAAATGTATCTTTTTGCAACTTGCTTTTTTTCAATCAGCATTACCTTTTGATATTTATAAACAAATAATTTGGAAATTTGAGTTATCTTTGGTTCATTTTAATTGCTGGTATAGAAAACCATTGTATGAATATACCATTATTTATCCATTTCTCTGTTGATGGACTTTGAGGTTGTTTCTGGTTTTTTACTCTTAAAAACAAACCACAATAAACATCTTTGTGCTTGTATGCTTGTGCACACATTTGGAAATTTCTCCGGGAAATACACCTAGTCCTTTGCTGGATAGTAGTGATATGTGCATCTTCAACCCAACCAAAAGTCACAGAAGCTCTCAAAATGGTGGTTCTAATTGTGACTCTCACTGGTATTGAGTGAGAGTGCTCATTTTCTCACATCCTTGCTAACTTTGATTTACATTTCTGCCTTCTCTTTAATGACCAACTACCTTACAACTTTAGCTTGCGGCTAAATTTGGCTTCTGCTCTAGCTGGGTTTATCTCAAGCAGCTAACTGGCTCAGTCTTTATCTAATTTGGTCCTCATAAGATTAATTGCAATAAAATTTATTTTGTACCTAATGTATGTCAGTTCCTATGGTTGATATAAAGGTAATAATTTCCATCATGTACCTCTCTAGTGGCAGGTGAGGTGATTTAATTACTTTTTTTCATATGATGAATTGTTTTTAAAAATCTTTTTTAAAAATTTAATGTAATATTTGATACATTCAGAATATATATAACCTATTTAACTTGTGAAGCAAAATAATAAAATGAACACCTATCGATATACCACTCATTCCAAAAACACACACAAAATAACCTGTATTGAATGTGCTCACCTCCAGAGTGACTTATCTTCTGAATTGTGCCATTCATTGCTTCTTAAAAAATAATTTTATCAGATATGTATACATCCCTCAACAGTGTATGGTATCTGTTGTTTTTGAGTTTTTTAAAAAAGGAATATTGGATACAGTTTTCTTGGATTTGCTTATTTCTCTCAAAACAAGTATAGATTTAAATTGTCATTTTTCTTTGCTGTGTAATATTCCATGGGCAGATATAACACAGTGTATGCATTCTTCTGTTGATGGGCATTTTGGTTCTAGGTTTTGCTATTAATGAAGGTTCTTGTACATATATTCTAGGACACAGTTGCAAGAGTTTCTCTAATTTTCTCACTGGGTATATGCCGCCCAGGATGATGATGATTTTCAAGGGAGGACTTGGGCACAGTGATGTTTATGAATCAACTTATCGGTCAGGTTTCATATGTACTCTCCTGAAATTGGTAATGCCTAGGGCTTATCACAGTGGCCTCCTTCTGGTTCTAGTTTCCCCCCTTTTCACAGTACCACTCACCCACATGGAATCTGCCTAGAGCATTACTCCAAGTGGGAAAACTACACAGAAAAAAAGGGATAATTTAAAATACAGTGTTTAGTGTTAGGGAAAGCCTCTTTCAAAGCAGGCACTTCCCATCTCCTTAGAAGCTGCATTCCAAAAAATTTTAGCTTTTTATGTGTAATTGTCACTGTATATAGTTAGTATTTTTATTAACTTTGCTGCAGTAATTATAATACAATTTAAACCAGTGGTATTTCACTTTTATTTTAAAATGTCACTGATACTCCAGAAATTCATTTAAATTTAGGTAAAAAATTTTCATTGTCTTCTTAAACTATGAAGAGTATGTAATTTTTAAAGGCATTTTGATGGTTTGTGAATAAAAAAGGGGTGGACACCACTGTGATAAGCTATCTGGTAGAAGTGGAATTGTGGGTTATGGGTCATGAATATCGGACTTTACAAAGTGATGCCAAATTGTTTTCTGAAGTGGTTGTATTACCTTATACTTTGGCCAGCAGTTTGTCAAATTATATACTTTGATTAGCAGTGTGTAAGAGTTCTAGTTGATCTATATCCTCTCCAACACTTGTTATCATCAGACTTCTTAATATTTGCCAATCAAATGGGTATGAAGTGATCTATCATTGTGGTTTTAATTTGTATTTCTTTGATTATTAATGAGTTTTCTTTTCATGTTTACAAACCTTCTGTTTTCCTCTTGTGAAATACCTGGCATATTTTTTACCCATTTTTCTATTGGGTTGACTTTTAAAAACTAATAAACTGTAACACCGATCCTTTATTGATTATATGCACTGTAAATACCTTCTGTGACCTATCTTTTAACTCTTGATGTTTTTGTGTTTTTGTTTTGGTGAACAGAAGTTCTTAGTTTTAATGTAGTCTAATTGGAAACTTTCCATAGCCCTGGGATTGTAGAGACATTCTCCTGTGTTCCTTTCTAGAAGTTTTAAAATGATGCCTTTCACATTTAACTTCATAATCCATCTGTATTGGTTTTTGTGTATGGTGTGAGGCAGTGATGCTCATTTCACCTCCCTCTCCCCCAAGTGGCTACAGTTGTCCTCTGATCATCTATTGAAATGATTCTCTGTTCACCAGTGATACCCTGAACCACCTCCTTTTCATGTTTACTCTCTATATGCATGGCTTTGTTTCTGGCTAACCTTTCTGTGCCACTTGTCCACTTGTCTGTGTCTGTGTTGATACCACTGTCTTAATTTCTAATGCTATAGCGTAACCAGAAATCTTGATAATTGAGGGCGGGGCGGGGGGCGGGGCTTGAGTCTCAGCTGTTGGATCTTTGTTCTTGTTTTAAGAATCAGTTTGTCACCTGACATGAAACATTCTTTGGGAATGAATTGGAATTGATTAAGTTCGGGGGAGAATTGAAATCTTTAAGATTTTGAACCTTCCTGTCTGAGAACGTGGTATTTCTATGTATTTAGGTTTTAAATGTCTTTTAATAGAGTTTTGTCATTTTCTCCATACACATCTAACAGTTTTTAAATGTTTATTTCGATGTTTCTAGTAGGTTTGTTTGCTATTATAAACTTGTTTTTTTAAGATTCTATTTTCTGTTTATTGTTGGTAAATGGAGAGTTAATGGATTTTAAAATATTGATCTTTAGTCATCTATTTGTTTCTAATATTTTCTGTAATTCTTTTGGGTTTCTATGTGGATAATTATATCATTTACAAATAGTGACTCTTTGAGTTCTTTCAATTTTCCCTTTTGTTTATTTTTCTTGTCTTAATGTGCTGGCATGCTTTTAGATCTATGTTTAGTGGAAGTGGTTATGGTTGTTCATTAGAAGTGATTATAGTGGACATAAAAGTCTTGTTCCTGACTTTTAAGGGAATGCTTTTCCATTAAAAACAATGTTATGAATTTTTGTAGATACTCCTTAAGTTAGGGAAGTCTTTGTGATTTTGTCACATGCTTTTCTACATCTGTTGAGAATATCTTGAGTTTTTTCTCCTTTAATGTGTTAAATGTAACGGATTCCACTTAACACATTTTAAAATTCTTAATTCTTACATTCTTTCCTGAGATAAACCCAAATTGTTGGTGGTGAATTGT